TACTGTTTTAAAATTTCACACAGCTAAAATGGCAGTGACTTTTCTTTTATCACTGGACACAGGATTAAAAATCAATTTCCCATTTAATGGCACCCTAACTGGGAGCAACGTTTCCAAGTCATCTGTCTTTATGTGAGAGTGAAAAGAAAGGAATGGAAAAAGGGTTTCTGTAAAGCATACTGGAATCTTTTCAGTTTCTTACATTCAGGAAGCATAGCTCACTCAGCCTATATTTGCCAAAGTAAGGACTAGAAGCTTGCTTTTAAAAAATCAAATCAAAAACTCAACACAGCCATTTAAAACGTTATTTCCAATAAACCTTGCATCAAAGGGGTTTCCTGTTATGCAATTAATATGGATAATGTTTATGTGAGGATGAAAGCTTCTCAAAAATTCATTCTGTTGCCTTGCTTTCACTGCACTACGTGGCATTCTGTCACACCCATAGAGACATGTCAAAGATCATACAGTGTGGAGCCACCTGTCTCTTCCCTCAGGTTACACACATATTTCTGAAACCATTGCTTTTGACTGCCCTAAAAGAGAGAATCTCTTTGATTTGGAGAAAAGAGAACGGGTGGACAATTATGTTCTGCATGCTGTGTCAAGCTAGGTCAGATAATAGCCCTTCTGGTATGTTTGAAAACCTCCTAGTTCAATACACTGCTCCATCTCTTCAGCCAACCTCAGGAAATAATACTCTGTTATCCACTTCTTTAAAACCTCAAATGAAACCATCTCAGTTTTCAAGAATTTTGGATAGTATTTCATTTCTGAATATAGCTCAGTAATTCCAGAAATATTCAATCTGCAGGCGCAAGTATAGTAAGATAGTAGAGTTGCTTTCCTGGAATAGTTGAGGATTTTTCTGCAAATTTTCATCAAGGAAGATATGATTTTCATCCTTATGCAGATAGGAATATTTTTCATTTCTGAAAATAATTCAACAGCATATATTACTGAAACATTGCAATGCATAATAATTCTAGGGTAAATTAAACCTTCTCTTTCTTGGAATCTTGGCACTCGGAATGAATGCATTAATATGATTGGCAAGTAAAGTGGTTTGTCTACATCATTTCCTCGCAGAGCCTGGCCAAACGATTTGGCTGCCTGAGAAGGAACAACCATAGCAGTCTAGCTCCCTCCAGTCCATCCAACACCTTCCTCCCACCCTGAAGAACATACATAATGTTCAAAGCTGAGCAAATAATTCTGGCATGATGAGACAGAAGATTCCAATTTTTTTTCTCCCTGAAAGTAAACATATGTCAGCAGTAATTGTAATAACAATAAATTAAGTAAGTAAAGCATGACACTACTCTTACCTAATTTTAGGGCCAGCCTCATAGGTATTGCCAACCATCCCATCTTGGTCAGTAAGGAAAGAAAGACTCCTGGCTCACGATTAGCCAAAAGTATACTTTACTAAAGCCAAAGTGGGTACAGACAAAGCAAAGCTGGATCTGAGATTTTCACGCACAAAAGATTAAATTAACTTTCCCTTGTTTCCGGCCAACCTCCTGATTATCAGTCAACATCCAATCAGGTGTCAATAAATTGTTTAAGAAGCAATCCCTGTCTTCATGTGCTTGCATTTTTTTGGTGTGACCTTGAGACAGCTGGTGTTTCTCATAGGATGGTACTTTTGATTCCTCTGCATTCCCTCCCTGATCCCTCCCCCCCACTGCTGCCTCCCCCCATTACTAATGTCAGGCTGTCAGCTTGTGATGTGTAGCTTAGCAGAACAGCAGCCATGACAGATATGCTTTATGCATACTGAAAGCTGTGCTCTTTAGTGAGTTTTATTTTAATAAAATGCACAGGAAGATTTCATCTATGCTCTTTCTATCTGAAGCACTACTGAATGTGCCACAAGCTCCCCAATAGAGCTCAGGCATAATACATAAGAAAGGAAAAGTCCTTAGATTCAGTACAAGAATTATGCTGTCATCTTAGAGAAGCCCATCTATAGGATCAGAAGATAGCTAAGAATCTATAATCTCCATCTCATTAGAAATCTGTGCAAGAGGCAAAGAGTAGCCCTGCTGAGCTTTGAATAGTCTATTCTAGATTGAGATTACAGAAATGTGAAGTTAAATCCTTTTTCCAGCTGGTGACTTAAATCCAAATTATCTACCCAAATGGAGAATTTAGATAAGATAATTTCTGGTTATACTATACAGTATATTCCATTTCAATTAATCTTGGAAGGCATTTTAAATCCCTTTAAAAAAACCTATACTAACTTCTCATCTACCTCTATTGTAAAACCAAATTATTTGGTTTCAGCCTCCAAGGTGCCAAGTAGAACATTATGAATACCACATGCATTTGTTATATCTTATGCATGTCAGTGCATACTGACTCATAGGCTCATATCTGAGCGTCCAGAATCAACAGCTGAATGTTTTCTAGGTGTGCCTCCAACATTACATTTGGTTTCAATGGAACATGATCCTTAAATTTTAGAAATAATTCGAACCTCACACCATCTTATTACTTTATCAGAATATTAACAGAGGGAACTGCTTTTCAAATCAAAAGCAGACGTCCAACTTAGAAATATGCAGAAAAATAAAATTGCTTTTGAATCATTCTATAATCCTAGCCTGTTTATCATACAAAAATCTAACTGCAAGGAGTGTGTCACTGCCTAAACAAAGGTCAATCTTATCTTGAGTGAGATAATTAAGCAGCACCATCTCTTCTCTCCCTTATGTGTCTTTTAGAAGTTTAGAGCTTGGCAACTTTTGCTTCTTTATCTAATTGTACAAGATGTAATCGAGTGTGTGCATGTGTACTCCAGATGAATTGCGAAAAATTAGATCAAATACAGAATAAGACCTTTGTTTCTGTGTCCTTTAAGGCAGTTGCCATTGTAACTCTTTTCACTGTGCCAATACATTGAAATGAGGGTAGTTTGCATACATTGAATCTAAAAAACAAAACAAACTTCTAAACAATCATGGGATGAGGTTTCTTCCCTTGTTTTTGTTACTTTTTTAAGGGGAAAAAAAACCTATATCCAGGGAAAAATAAGCAAAGTAAAACTCATTTCAAAATTGCACATGCATGATATATATCATAAAACATTGCCTTTCTTCCTACGAAACATGGTTAATTTAGCACAAAACTTAATTTATTGAATGGATACTTGAAGCCACACATCCTATCTTGATATACCTTCATAAATACTCAGGGTTTAAGTAGCAAATCTAGCAGAAGTGTAGACAAAGATGAGTTGGTATTAGAAATTGGCCATATATAAAAGGAAGAAAATAAATGACTTTGGCTCCTGGAAAATCTAGATTGAAAATTATTGATCAAAAGAGATTATCAGGATTCCTTAGGATCAGTAAATTAAGGACAATAGCAATGTTTCCTTCAAAATGAAATATTTTACAGCAATTCTCTCAAGAATATCCAAACATTTGTATTATGATTAGCAATACATTTCCTATAGAACATTGGTAAGCAATCTGTAGCTTTCAAGTCCTTCCCACAGCCCTCCGAACATCCTAAAACTGGTTTTCAATGCTCAAGTCTTGCTCCCTCTTCTGGTAATGAGGAAATACGAATGAATACTCTAGAGAGCTTTCATTTTTCAGTTTGAGTATATTCCAGAAGTTGCATGGAAAATCTAAGAGAAAGTGTACTGATCAGAACGTCAGAGGTGACAATCTCATTTCAGAATTCTTACATTCAGTATAAACTTAATATTTTTTTTTACAAAATGTTCTATATACACATAGAGACATTACTTGGTTTCCTTAGTACAAAACCTGGAAGCCATTTCTAGATTTTTCATTTAGCCTTAACATAAGATCCTAGAAGAATTAATGTTTACCTTGGCATCTCTTTTTCATCCAGCTTGGTAAATTGATATGCTTCTTTTCTTTAAAAGAAAAAAAAGGACACAATCCAACAAATGTAAAGCCTTATAGGCAAGTTTACTTTCTTGATTAAAATATTTATTTTTATCATAGGAATCAGTTGGCCTTAAAAATATTTAATTTTGGCTGGATAGTAACACATCTTTGCATTAAGACCCAGCACCTAAGCCTATGACTGTTTCTTGTTAGCATATGGCAACTATCCCCAGCCTGGGTGCACTGTAGTGAAGTGGATTTCAGGTTCCACAATATACTGCTGACAGGAGCCTCTCTCATCTGGAAAGTGTTCTGATATATGGGATCAGTATTAGCTCTGGGCATGGATAGTTTGTTCTAGCTACCATTGTTGACTTGGGTTGATTCATGCTGTGCTACATAAGCTGCTTTATATTGTCGTATCGGGAGGTTGATTCATCTAGCCCGGGGGTAGGCAACCTTGGCTCTTTTATGACTTGTGGACTTCAACTCCCAGAATTCCTGAGCCAGCCATGCTGAGGGGAAAGGGAAAAGTTTCCAAGCTGAGCCTTGCTGGCTCAGGAATTCTGGGAGTTGAAGTCCACGAGTCATAAAAGAGCCAAGGTTGCCTACCCCTGATCTAGCCTATCACTGCTTGCTATAATTGGAAAAAGATCTTCCACACAATTTTAGCAAGTGCTGCTGAAGACAATATGAAAAAAAGCCTGGAATTGATATTGGACCATTATACAATGCTATGTCTTTGTGGAATGGTCTTTTACCTATGCAACATACAGAATATTTAATGCATTCTTATACTAGAAACTTTGTCCTCAAGAATCATTTATTACAGAAATAATGTAAAAGAACAGGTTAATCCTATGACCTAGTTCTGCATAGATACAAAAAGAACCTGGTGAAATTTGCTATTAATTTATCAGAACTTAAGTTTCAAGCACATTTTTAAACTGCCAAGAAAGTCAACATAGAAGTTCTTGTTGCAATCAGCTCCAAGGTATTTTTTTGTCCTGGATTTCCACATTTGCACCATACAGCTATTACGAAAATCAGACCAATGTCCTAAACAGCTAATAGAGGGGAATATATTTTGCGAAGGCATTAAAATGTCTTCAGAGGAAGTGAGGACACAGAATGCATCAGTAGAGAATAATGGCAAGAATTTCCTGGGAATAAATGGAATACATTTATTGTTCTCTGATCCAAACATATGAGTACACATTGCTCACTACTATTCTTTTCCAAGAGGTGCATTGCCAAGCATCTATTATTGTTGCAAGAAAAGAATGATGTTCTAATTCTTATAGTTCTATGAACTACATCTTACCACTTTTAATTTCTTCTATCTACTGGATATATTAAAGATGCCTAGATGCCACTGGTGCAAATAAGATTCACTTACTTACTTGTATCCCACCTTTATTATTTTTACAAACAACTCAAGTGGGAAACATCTCCAACAGATCTTCCTCCTCCTTTTTTCCCTACAACAGCAACAAACCTGTGAGAAGGGCTGGGCTGAGAGAGAAAGACTGGGCAAAAATCACCCAACTGGATTTCAAGGCGAAGGTGGGACTTGAATTCATGGTCTCCTGCTTTGTAGCCTTAACCTGTTCTAAATTCACAGGAGATAGACAATTTTAGCCATTCTCACATTGTACCCCCATCAACACATATGCAAGCTTTGCTGTGAGTCAGTGCTAACCCAACCCCGGGGATTCTCCACTTGGTTCAATAAACACATTTCTTCAAATGGCTACTCCAAAGAGAAGTATTCTATGGCTTATAAACTTCCCCCTTTGTACAATTCCTCAACTGTACAAAGTCTCTAAGACTGTGGCACTTAAATTTGCTTGTTGCCAAATCAACATAGCTCTATTACAGAAGGTTCCTCCACAAATTATAAAAAAGGCCAACATTTCTGTCTCCTCTTGCCAAGGATGTCACAAGCTGTAGTATGATGAGGGAATGGCCTTGAGGAACGGGAGGAAGATTCTCTAACAAGGCAATAATCAGGCAAAAGAAGCCTGAGCCATGACCAAGAATGTAAATATTTCAGACAAGCTCTTACCTCGTATACAGTAAGGGAGGATAAAAGGAGATAGGAAGAGCATGCTCAAAAGTTTCTGAAAGTTTCTGTTTTTATAGCTTTGTAATAAAAGTAGCACTGCTCTACATGCCATTAGTTTTCTAGTTTGGCCTACTTTAATAGTTGATTCAAACTCCCCTTTCCATTATCAAGACATTGAAAACATGGGAAAAGGGCATTGTGGGATACTGCCTCATTTCAAAGATGCCCACTTTATTTTGGCACAACCTTTATGTATAAGAGTTCCATGTTCCAGTACAGGACTATACAATCCAGGCACCTGTGTTTCAAAAATGAGCACTTGTTCATTTTCACAAAATATCACTGCCATAGGAAACCAACCTTGAAACAGTATTGGGTACCAATACTGTTTACAACTTTTCTTTCCCATAAAATATTTTTTTTGTTACAAATATAGGTCTAACACATCTTTATGTTTCTCTGAATAGTAGCATCTCTTAAACAGATCAAAGCAGTCTAAACTTATAAATGTTAACACTACTCTTAATAAAAGGCAAACCATAAGTATTTCAAAAGTTTTATAAAATGCAGACAGATGGGTTTTGAGGAGTTGGTTGTTTCAAACTTGCTGAGAGCATTTTTAGAAATTATAGCCAACATTCTGGTAAAATAAATATATGTTATATTAACATATATTTATTCTGTTATATTAACTATAACGGGAAAAACAACATTTTTATGCAAAAAGTTTAATAATACAGTCATAGTTTTAATACCATCCAGCAAAAGTATACTGTAAAAATGTTCTAGGTATAAACTGATCTTGGAGGACATTAGACAACAATCCCATCCATTCTAACTCAGAAATAAGCTCTAACTATTTAATGGCATTTATTCCTGGGTAAGTGTGCAGAGGATTGCTGTGCTGTAAATATTTGAAATACAACCCAGCAGGATGTCCTGCTCAGAGCATCACTGAAATGAATGGGAACCAGGCCTGATTGTTGAGTCTTTCCAGAAGATCAAGCCCTCGCAACTTAGTGAGGTAGACAGTAGAAACAAAGAATTCTTCATTAGCACATAATTTTAAATCTTGCAGGAACATTTTTGAGTGGACAAAATGGTATCATTACAGACATACAAATGAAACATTTGATTAATGCTTAAATCTGTACAGCTCAAATATATTTTAAAAATATTAGACGCTTGAGTGCATATAATGCTCTGGGCATTAAGGGAAAAGGGGAAATGTACATTGCTCACCTCCATTTTTGTACTTTGCAGTCTGTTTTAAATAAATATTTACAGCTTCAATATGAACAACACTGTATCCAAACCAAAGTGTGCACTTTCTTTTAAATTATCGCTCCTGATCAAGGCTCTCCTTTATTAGCACTTTATATTATTTATCTATTAATTTATACACTAATACTTCTTTCCTCCACTCTCCCCACCCTTCTGAAGTTCTATGAAATCCTGAGTCCACAAGGGAAGGAAATGCCTAAGGAATCTCAGGAATATTTCTAAGTCTTCAGTGAAGAGCCTTATTTGTGGAGCAGTGTTTAACTATTGTCTTCCTCAGCATCACATCTGCATGGACTATAAAACACCACTGCAGCTGGCCAGCCCGCCTACCTGCCCTTCCTGGAACTTTTGAATTTTTAATATTTTGAAATTAAGGAGCTCTTTCACCCTCTCTAAACCTTCCTAGTGTGTCCCCCTCCCCCTGGCTCTTCTCATAGCTTCTAATTAATAGATTTAAAAGATCAGCCACCGAACTAATAATTATAGAGTAGGACTGATTTTTATTTATGTATATTTTTAGAGGAAGAAGGAATTACTTAATCTATTTTAGGATGGAAATATTTGTAAGGGAAACACAAAGGTAATTCTGGATTCAAAGACTGTCAAACTAAACGTTTTCTATACTTGCTTTCCCTAATACCTTCTCTTAAAAGAGAGCCTAGAAGAGAATGCCAGGACTACATTCTTGGAACAGAATCCTGCTTTGGAAGTGGTGTAGTTTGACTTCGTTGCCTTCAAGTCGGAAATTAGAAGCCATCGATTGCCGTTTCAACACAGCTTGTCCGCACATGTGAACGACACGGGAGCAGGGAGAAAAAATAAAAGTCCGTTTTAAAACCTGAATGTAAAGCCCAAGTTCTGCCAACGAGAGGAGTGCAATAGGCTAGCGCCCGTTACGAAAGTAACCGACGACGCGTGTCTCTGCCTGCCTCCCACAATTCAGTTTCTGACCCACACATCCCTCACGTTGCCTCTCTTAAGAGACTTGGGTAACCTCCCTGATTCTTCTTTTTTATTTTCTTCCAGGAAGTACAAGGACATATACTACAAGGAAAGGGGCAGTGAATTCTCCCAGAAAACCTTGTGTTTCCGGATTCAAAAACAAGGCTTAATTTCCGCAAAATGGGTCACTACTTGTTTGGGTAGTTCCAGCTTCCAGTCGAGGAGTGACGTCAATCATTCAGCCTTCATTCTCCCCACAGCAACTTTTTCCACGTGTTTTCTGAGCAAAATCTCCCATTCTACCTACGGCTTTGCCTGGACGCGGAAATATTGAGGCTGTTCCCAAAACGGCGTCAGATACTTTCTCTCTCCCGGCTCTTTAGGAGCAGGAATTTGAACCCCTTAAGCAGACATTGCGCAGGCGCAGTCCGGGCAGCCCATTTTTCCCTCCCTAGCGCAGAGCGAGGGCTCGCACGTGGCGCGCTTCCTTCTGCTTTCCCTCGCGTGTCTCTCGCGCGCTTTCGCTCTCCACCGGAGAAAGTGCCCGATGCTTCTCTCGTCCGCCCTTCCGCTCCAGGGGCAGCCGGGGACGGAGGCGCGCCGCTACCTGCATCCGCAGGACTCGACAACCATGTCCTCGTACTGTTTATATACGACGTTGTTTCCCGCGTCCGTGTAGAGGATGCTGATGGGCGTCAGCTTGGCCGGCACGCAGCAGCTGGGCGGCGTGGCGCCCGGGTCCATGGAGTTCATGAGGGTCTGGATGATGGCGTGGTTCGTGGGCTCCAGGTGCGAGCGCAGCGGGAAGTCGCACACGCCCTCGCAGTGGTAAGCCTCGTACTCGAGCGGGGCGATGATCCAGTCGTCCCAGCCCAGATCCTTGAAGTTCACGTGCAACGCCTTCTTGGTGCACCGGAGCCGCGCCTTCTTGCCGTGCCGCTTGCCGTGCCGGTTGTTATACGCGGAGCGCTTCATCCGGCGGGCCTGAAAGCGCAGTTGGACTGGGCCCGCTGCTTCCCAGGGTAGCGCGGGAGCGTTTTGCGGCAGTGGCCGGACTCCCAGCTCCTGACGCAACTCCGCAAAGAGGTTCTTCCGCCTGGACTTGCTGAAGACCACCAGCAGCGCCTTCTCCTGCTGCGCCCGGGCGCCTCGCCCCAGACCTAGGGGACGCAGGTCCAGCAGCTGCGGAGGGGGGTGAGCTCGAATCCCCCCGACGGCCCGCAGCTCCAGGCAAAGTTGCTGTCGCTTCTTCCAGGCCCCGCGAAGAGGCTGTAAAGCTTGCCCCACATCAAATACCTCCCAGTCGCCACCGGGCCGGGCAGGCGCCGCCTCCTGCAAGTCCAGAGTCCTGGAGTCCAAACGGCGGCCCGAAAGGCAGGGCGAGACCTGCAGACGGGCCAAGCCTGTCTGAGCTTTGGAGAAGGGATCGCCGAGGGCTTTGCGAAAGAGACGGAGCTCGGCCCCCACCAGCTCCTCTTTGTCTGAGAGAGTCGATACATCAAACAAATATTTTTGCCTCCTTAAAGCGGTGGGCGAAAGATCGTCTGCAAGATAAAAAGGCATAATTGCAGTCAGTTTCACCTCTTAAAGGAGAACATAAACGGCCTAGGGGAGGGAGGGGAAGGAAGCTTCGTCCAGGTGTGGTGGACCTTTTCTGGTCCCCTTGTGAAAGAGGGGACAAGGAAGGGTCTCAAGAAATTGAGGGCTCTTCTCCAGCAGAGCTCCCAGGGAGCCTATCAAAATCCATGGGATTTCCTAGAACGGGTAGGCAACCTTGGTTCTTTTATGACTCGGTGGACTTCAACTCCCAGCTCAGGAATTCTGGGAGTTGAAGTCCACGAGTCATAAAAGAGTCAAGGTTGCCTACCCCTGTCCTAGAATATAGTAGCAAGCAACCCACAGGTTTCCAAATAGAGGGGTTTATATCTAATAACTGGTGCCTTTTTTTGTGCAAAACACAAAATACATTGATGCTGCACTCATTTGGCTCTAAAAGTTAAGTTTATTTGACATTACTGCTTTTGCATACAAGCCAGCTAGAATGTTGGAGACTTTCAACCTGTTTACGCTTGCTGTTCAAATGGGATTACTGTATATTTGTACAACTTCCATGCAGATAGGATATTAAGAGATGAATCCATTTGTTAATTGTAGTGTGTTTCCAATGTAAAGCACCCCTTTCCCAAATCTTTCCATAAATTGAAATAACGGAGAGTTAAAAAGAAACTTCATTGCTTAAAAATCATATTCCCTATTTGTGGTTTACGGGAAGGTACTGTAATCACATTGGAATTATTTTTTAATTGCTTTAAAACAGCGGTATGCAAAAGGCAAGCTATGAAAAGCAAATCAGGTTACCTCTATTTTTCTACTTACCAATACAAAGCTTTATAAGTTGGCAAATATACAGAATTTTTCCCTTTCTCCAGGTTTTTCCTGAAGATCTAGTAAAACTTGTATGTCTTTTGGTAGTAATGTCCCCAACAAATATTGCAGCCAAGAGATGCAGCTGCAGTAGTCTTGATCATTTAATGATTGCAAGGGTCACCAGTAATATTCCTAGTCAATATATATTTAAACTAAAAGGTCTGGATGAGAGGACTTGGAAAAATGACAGTAAAGTATCAAAAAGATGCTTATGATGGGAACCAAGATATCTTCAGATAACACTAGCAAGAGAAAGATTGGTTTGACACACTGTGCTAATCTGTCATTTATTTTGCTTGGTTCTGACTTTGCAAATGTGAACCCAAACAACGTTGGCTTCATCAGCAAACTGTGACTTTAATGTCATGTACAAATTCAAGCAAACTGCCAGTAACAAATATGTTGGTCACCTAATAGTGCTTCTTGTTTAAAAACATGGTAGGGATAATAATTCTCCTCTTAAGGATAGAAAAGTGTTCTGAGGCTCATTTCTTTGGCTTGTGGATTTTATCCATCCCTGCAATTTGATGCTTTGTTTTGAATTCCACAATGTGCACCTTTGTAATAGGCCTTGAAGCCTCTCCTAACAGTGTGTGCTTTACATGCTTGATGCTATGTCTTTTATTAAGAAATAGACTCTGCTTATAAGTATTTGCAGACTAGATTTTTAGCTGCCTTACTGATCCATCAGTACATAATTAAAGGGGACAATGGCAGCTTCAGTGGCATTGAGGACTGTTGCATCGTGCTGAACAAAGGGCTATTTTACCAACAGTGAGGCAAGGCAGACCAGCTAAGGGAAAGGTATTACCTTTAAGTTGTTGGAGTGATTAAATCTGTCATGTCTATTAGGCAAGGAGATACCTAATGGTTGGATGCCAATGTCATCCTTTTAATCCTTGACAGTGGTTGATGGGGTGTTTTAAATGTCTTAGAAAATGTCTTGCATGTGGTTGTTTAACAGACAAGTTGACAAATGCCCAGGTTATGCATGCATAATGGCAGTGCAGCGTTTGTGACCCTGTAAGTATCTTATCAAATTACATGGGGCTTACTTCCAACTGGTGCAAAGAGCTTTGCAGTCTTTCTTTGTAATCCACTGTGGATTCTAGTGGGAATTACCCCATGGAAACTTGAGGACCTGTTCCATATTTTTTAGTAGGGCAAAGGTAGATATAGATTGCCAGTTCTTTTCTAAGACATTTTGATTGCAGCTCTGTACTTGTTACCCTGCAAATGTACCTTGGAATAAAGACACTGAGATGTGTAGTATTCTTAGATTGATGTTTTGTGATTCCTCCAAGATAGTTTTACCATGTTATTCTCAGAAGAATCCTGAAAAGTAACTGGGCCCAAACTTCAAAATAATGTTCATATTGTGATCTCAGTGCCAGTCCTGGACTGGTTCTTTTTAATACTGGCTTTCTTTATATATACAGTGACCGTACATCCTTTATTACAAAGGATGGACCTGTCAGATTTATTTTTTAAAAAAATCACTTTCCCCCTTTATTTTGATCATTTAACTTTTACTGTATAAATAGTAGCACTTCATGCACAGTATTTTACATTTATGTGAAAAATACAAAAATTGAATTTCCTTTAAAAAATTTACATATACTGTTCGATTTTAGATATATTTTTTATTAAAATAGCATGTTTGAACAATTATTTGTTGGTTTTGCTCTTGAATTGTCTTTGTAAAGCAAAGTTATTTTTTAAATCCTTATAATCCTTTAATCCTTATGTTTCAGACTTGTCCCCTTTTCTGGTTTTTCCAACAAAATGTAGTCACTGCACTTATTATATAGCATGATGCTGAAATGAGTAGGGATTGATCAGTCCAGACTGATGGATACCTATTTCACTGTGTGAATATGAAATTATGGCTAAATTATATTTGAAATCAATAATTGCATTTAAACTGTATTAAAAATATAATTACAAGAAAAAAATTAAATGAAGTTTAGAATGCAGTTATGTTTTTAAATGTTGTCAGAAAACACCACTGATCTCAGTGATGCCGATTCCTGAATAAACACGTATCCAGGATTCTTAATGGGTTCTATTAAATGCTCAGTACGGCCATTGTGGTAACAGGAATTAGTGTATGAAATGTTGATGTCTCTTCAAGTATGAGCACCACATTTCTTATATAAAATTATCATCCAGACTAGACCACTTAAGTTTAATGCTGGGCAGGGAAACTCCTTTGCATTTCTTTGTATCCTCAGTGATGAAAGACAGTTAGTTTTAGACATTCTTTCCAAGGACAAGAATGTTTTTTAAAAAATGCTCATAGATGGCCAAGAAAATTATGTTCCTTTACATAGTCTTCTTTACAGCTGTCTGCTCACACTTCAATTCATTTCCAAGGAATGGCATGAATAAGCTCTCCCAAAGGGCTTTTTCCCTGACTTAGAAGCATAAGAAGTTTCAGAATTACAAAGAGATGCATAACAAGTAACACCAGTAATAGCACCTCTATTAATATTATCAAATACTATTAAAAAATACTACCAAAGGACAATTTTATTTTGGATACTGAGTGATGTCATATTTGCAAAGTAAGTTTTAGTCTGTGTAAACTAGAAGAAGACAGATAGAATCCTGCAGAATTTCTTATCTAATCCTTTTTTAAGTATTCCGTACTCTGTAAAGAACTCAAGATAATGTCATCATCAGGTTTTAGCTTAACAAAATTAAGGTGTTAGGTTAGTATTTTCCCTGTCTTTGCAACTTTCAGATGTGTAGGCCAACTCACAGAATTCCCCAGCCAGCCAGCACAATTTTTACTGAGAATTCTGGGAGTAGAAGTTCTCACATCTGGAAATTGCCAAAGTTGAGTAACTCTTCTCAGCTGAGAATGATTGGCCCAAAGCCGTCCAATAAGAACTCATTTATTCCTGTTCTGTTAGTTTGCTAGCTCATCCCTTTTCCAAACTGAGGCTCTCCAGATGTGTTGGATTGCAACTCCCATTATCCCTGGCACTTAATATATTAATTTATATTAATATTGCTGCTATTTCAAGCCAATGCTTGAAAATGAGGTTAAGAAATTAAAAGATAGAAGTTCTTGTTTTCATAATCCTGCCCTGTGAAGGAAGGAAGTCCATGACTGTTGGGCATGCGCCTTCTGCTCAGTTGCTAAAATACATATCAGCCTGCCAGAAAGAAATGGGTAGCAGCCTTATCTGTTAGCCAGTTTGAAGCAGATAACAACTAATCCTGAGAGGGCAGGTTTGGTTTTGAAAAAGAGAATAGATGGCAAATATCAGTCAAGAGTTCCACCAAATGAAAAAGTGCAAGCTATATATACAAAGATCTGGAAGTAGTTCTGCACATGCTAAGAATTATTACCACACTTCATTGACAGATACAGACACAGCTTCCTCATCTTTCTAACAGAAATAGAAGATTAGGGCAACATTCTCCAAATTAGCGTCTTGCAGATGGAATTCTGACTATAAAACCCATGATTCCAAATAAGCATGGCTGAAAGACAAACTCTTTCACCCATTAATACTTCAGTCTCAAGGACAAACTGAGTCAGTTTAAATGTTCTCCTAGTTGAGTATTCTCATTGCAGATCAAGTGAAGCAGAAAGACCCCAGAGGGGTGTTTGAAGATGCCAGGGCAGAATTTAAGGCTTCTGCGTAAACAGAATTCCTTCCCTAAACAAAACCACTTTCTTCTGAAATCAGAGACCCTTACAAGCAATTTTAGGGACTTTTACCTTTGATTCCTGAACATTTTTCTTATGAGCCAGATTTCAGTATGAAATGGGTGTTGATCCAGGCTGCAATCTTAGATCTGATCAAATGGAGTAAGACCCACTGAAAGCAATTCCTTCTACTTTTGATTGATTTGTGTGGCACAAATTCAGTCATTGGAAACAGTTTATAAGAATTAGTTGTTACTTGTGAGTTTCCAAAACCCAGGAAGACCTGCCTTTGGAAAAGAGGAGACTGTGCTTGATATTGTCTATGGCTTTTGGGTAAACAACCATATAATCACCCTGACCTTGCAGGGAGATTATCACATTGTTAAGAGCAATCTAGCAGAATATTACTGGTGGTAGGTATTGGGATAATTAGAGGAAGTGGTGGAGAGGATT